GGATTGAAGGTCGAATTGGGTTAGGATTAAGGTTGGGGGTTTAAAACTTAGGATTGAACTAGGATTAGCCTGAACCCAACCTAACCCGGCCCGCAAATTTTGTGTCTACTACGCGCCTCGTATTAACTATTAACTATCATTCATGCTGAGCGTAAAACAGTTGTACATTTGGGACTAATTCCCGGAAAAGCACCAACTACCAACTCCCGTAGGGCCCATCTAATGCAATGGATCATCTTGACAATCTTCATGATCAGAGGTTGTTCCTAATTTCCTATCGTCTATTGATCCACATAGATGTTCAGCACCGTCATAGCTTTTCCTTTTTTTTTATTTCTTAAGCGATTCAAAATAAACCATTTAGTCTCGGTTTCAAAAGAATGCAAATACAAAATAATCCGGCTCAGTTTGAAAGGAGTATAAATATAAATGTGCAGAGTGTAAAATCTTATATTTTATATTATTTTGTATGTATTTGCATTGTATACATTTGTATTTATACTTCTTCTAAATTGAGCTTTAGAAGGAATATAAATACATACAAAATAATATAAAATATATAGCTTTACAATCTACATATTTATATTTGTACTCCTTTATTTGCACTAGTATAAATGTATGGGAGTACAAATGTAAAAAATGCAAATTATTGTTAAATTTTACTTTATTCTATTTTATATTTTAATTTACTTCATATATACTGCAATCAAATAAAATAAACTAAAAATAAAAAGTCTGATCTCAAACACAGCGTTAGTGATTCCTTTTTCGCAAAAACCAAAAAAGTCTGATCTCAATTAAAAAGTAGCTGAGATTTGTACCAAGCGCCAAGAACTGAATGTGGTGGCTCTTATTGCTAATCATCCACTCTAATTTTGTACACTTGGTCGTTAGTTTCAAAAAAAATAACACAACAGAGATCAACATAGAATGGAGTAACTCCTGGACCTGGACCTCCTCAACCAAGATGTCGATCCCTCTCTCTCTCTCACTAGAGAAGAGAATTAGGCTATGTTTGGTTTGAAGAAAAAAAATAGGGAAAGGAAGGAAGAGATAAAGAAATCAATACAAAGATTGTAAAGATTATCTTGCCTACCCCTTCCTTTCCCTACATTTTTTTTTAAACCAAACATAGCCTTAATTAATTTTGGAGAATTTATGGAATAACTCACAGAAATGAAAAGCTTTTCATGAACGAGACAGGAATACAGGATCCCCTGCAAAACCCGTGAATTGCTTCATGAATCATGATCTGACTTTTTATCGTCTTTTGTTGGCATGGACTTACCTGGGGCTGGGCGTCAGGTATCTTGGAATTGTTGATGTATTTGCATTGGTTACACAGTAAAGCTAAAACAAATTATGCCCATACAAATTTCAATGAGAGTGCATATCTGCTCCCAACTTAATGCTACCTATACGCTTCCAACATGTTCTACATCTGCATACTTTTTGTCACAATAATCATATTGGAAGTATACCTAGAGCAAAACAATCATCTACTATTATTCCTTCCCCATAATGACCAAAACACCCAAATGTCGTTTTTGTTTTTTGGAGTGTGCCCTTGAGACATTACTAATAGAGACGAACAGCTTTTATTTGAATTTGATGCAATCATGCAATGCCACCTTGGAATGGCCCCCACCTTAATTGTACCTGTATATGCTATCGGAACGAATGGGAGACCATCATGGGACGGGACCTACAGTACGTGGGTAGCCCCATCTAATAATCTGAAAATCCAATCCCTGCATTTAAATCATAACATCTGAAAATTATGACCTTAAATGTAGTGCAGTTCCCTATGAAATCACTTCATATAATTCAAGGTGGGGTCATGACGATAAATCAAAGGTTTTAATTTAATTTAGTTGTTTCGGTGCACGACTAAGATACTATCATAGCAAATGTGGGTTGCCTGGATGCGAAGCAGGATTTGCTCTTCACAAATGAACGTCTTACAGGCACGGTGATTAATAATAATTAATAAGTACGGGAAATATTCCCAATGCATGGTTGAATGTACGTGTAAGACGCTTGGCGTGAGGAGCAGATCCAGTCTCCATGGATGCGGTCACGAACCATCATGATAGCCTGCTATTTGCTAATTGTCTTTTTAAGAGAGTATCAAGTCTTGACCATTGGTTTTTAATCAGATTGATATTTATTCCATTTTACACTAATTACATGGTTACCTGTCTGCCACATAAGATGAAAAACAGATCCACACCGTGTTTAAGTTACACTTTTGGTTCGTGTTAAAGAACATTCATGATCCATTGTTTTTTTAGGGCCGCCAATAGGTTGGGCCCGACCTGATGGATATGATAGGATCAAACTGATTGTATTGGCTTTAGTTCAAGGATTTAGTCCAATGGGTTGGTTCCAGTTCTACCTATCACAAATAGGGGTGGCAATGATACGTGTTTTTTACGAGTTATTTGACCTTGGCTCGTGAAAAACTCAATTTGACTCGGTTTTAATTGAGTTCGAACTCAAGCTCGAACCCAGATTATAGGCTCGATTAATAAACGAGTCGAGCTCGAGCCTAATAGTGTTCAGCTCGTGAGGCTCGCAAGCTAGTTCGAATGTATGTATATATATATAATTAATTTTAGAAAATAATATATAATAAAAATATTATAATTCTTAATTTTTTAAATATCAAATAAAAAATAATTTTTATATATAATTTTTAATTTTTATAAAATATTTTTTCTCAAGCTCGAGCTTACGAGGCTATGACTCGAGCTGAGCTCGAGCTCAAGGTTTTAGCTCGAACCGAGCTCTAGCTCGAGCTCGAGCCTTATACTTCCTAGGTGATTGGTGAACCAGGTTCATTATAATTGGTTTCATTAGGGCAGACCCGATGAACCTGAGGAACTAATTGGCTCGATTCTAAGTCTTAAATTCTAAATCCTATGATCTAGTTAGATTTCAAGATCTCAAATGGATTGGATCAGATTCAAATCAGGGTATATTCAAATAATAGTAGATACGATTGGACCTTACAAATGCTGATTCAAATTCAAATTCAAATCTATTAATAATGTCAGATATCCAAATATGATATGCTCCAATTTAATTTCTTAAAAAAAATAAAAAATATAACAATTTATATAAGGAAAAACTAAAAAATACAAGTATTTTCTTTAATTATTTTCATCACAAAATAGAATTGGATTTTGGGTCGGATTGGGCAGGATCATAATATGATCCATTTACACCGCTAAGGACTTTCACGTTTCTTGTTGATTCAAGACGAATTCTACCTAATTCCGATCCAAACCCGACCAGTTGACAGCCCTAAAATAATATTTTTCCTTTTAAAAAAAATAGGGCTGGCCCATATTGTCAAAGTTAAGAGATGGGTCGGACCATAGTGCAGAAACAAAAACCGCGTTTACGGTGTAGACATGATGGAGGGTCCCAGTTGTTGCTTAGGGTGGGGGTCCCACACTCCCTCCCACTGAGTAAAGACTAAAATGGAAGGAAAATGATGGGAGGTGGCAGGCACCAGGCAGGGGCATAAATAAAAAGAGTGAAGTTTCCTTAAGATCATGGCATCCAGCCATCCCACTCACATTTTTTCATTTTTGTTGTTCATGGATCTTCGGACATACTCAACTATTTTCGCCTAAATTAAAGCATAAATTATTAATATTTAAACATTAAAATCTTTAAAACTAGGCACGTGCAAGGTGAAACCCTAACCCTAACCCTCTCCTCTCCTCTATTGTCTTCCTTCGTACCACAGTCGCTACAACTAATTTCATTTACTTCTAACGAAAGTAGTTTATAGTTACACGGATACGGGATAAGAGAAGAGATAGCCCTTCTCTATCAGAATTACCCAATTGCCCCTCCACTAACAACAAAACCGCGTCTTTATCCTCACGAAATCACCTAAATACCCTTCTGAGTTTTTGAGCTTTGTCTGTCGAGAAGAAAATACAAAATAGGCACGAGCCAACGGTAAGTAACTCGGACCGATTAGACCGGAACAGCCGTTCACCAATATTAATTATTAAAAATCTGAGAATCGGTCCACTAGTGGACCAGTCTACTTAAATACCACAAAATGACAGAACTAGTCATTTACAAGCTTAAAAAAAATATTTATTCTTAATTACTAAACCGTTGATGTCATTCGGTCTAACTTTTCTTTTTTTATTCTTTTTCTTTCACAAGTTATTACTTATCATTAGGTGAGAGGCGCATTCCTGTCAGTATCAGAAGGGCTATCAATTCAGACTAATAAGAGATTTATCCGGAAATTTTGACAAAACAAAATCCCGCCAGCTTTGAACTTGGAGGGTTGTATCAAAGTTGAAAAGTGAAAACCCACATTGCGGTCTCCGGTTTCGGTTGCAGTGCAATTTTATTTGCACTAGTACAAATGCATAAGAGTGTAAGTGAGAATAATGCAAATTTTGGTTTAATCTTGTCCTTTGGGCCTAATTTCACTTGAGTATTTTGATTTTAAAACGTGCCAATTCAGTATCTTAACTTTCAAAACATCCCATCTTAGTTTAACATCGTTAACCACCGTTTAAATAGCATATGCAATGGATGCAAATTTCCTTCAAATATCATCTAATTTTCTTTTCTAACCATCCAAATGTTCTTTGAGTTGTTCATCATTGCTTTGTTTCAAACTTAATTTGATGATGAACAGCATTTTATTTCCAAAGATAATTTTGATATTTTCAAAAGATTTAAATCACACATGTCATCGTATAATACAGATAACCAACTGACTACTAACAACAAAGAGTAAGTTAAGGCTGCGTTTGACCGCAACCAAACGCAGCCTTAATTTAAATCCAAATAATTGGATAAGAATTGAAATAAAATCAATGAAACACTGGACAGTAGACAGGGATAAGAATTTTGATTTTGATAGAACATAAGGGCATTCTGATAATTCTACTCATGTCCTTAATTGTCTAATATTAACCTACTCCGTTCGACCGAAGGTCCCTCATCATGTCCATCACTCATTCAACATCATCGCCATCATCAACGTTTTCCTGCTCTGTAACGCAAAAATAAAAAATAAATAATAATAAAACACCTTCACAAAGACCCCATTCGCGATCCTCAAACCATAATCTCCATGAAAGTTTCAGTTCATACCACCTATTTTCCCGTCGTATCTCCTTACACTTCAAGCTCTAATTGCAAAAATGTCGGTTTTTACGTCGCATATATCCTTCTTTCAGTCCTTCATGGCTTCAAAATTACCTGCTATTCTTAAAATATCTTGTTCTTGAGTTCAGACAATATCCATCTCTAGAATCTTTTTTTCCGATTTCCTGTGCGAGAAAAAAAAACGTGTCTGTTGCCTGAGAAAACTGGGTTTTGTTATTTTTGCTTTGTTAAAAATTTTCTGCGTGTTTCGAAAAAAATAAGTCATTAAAAAAGTCACTTTTTCTTCGGATTCAAGCTTTGATGGTGGACAAAGTGCCTTTCATGGCTTCCAAAAGGCTTTTTTTATTTTTTGGTAATTTAAATCGTTCCTGTAAATGTTTTTTCAACTCCCTTTGAATACCATTTCAAATGACCAGTTCTTGCCTTCTAACCTCATCAATTTTCAAACTTCATTTTTTTTCTCTTTTTCATAAAATTGGGTCTCTTGATAGCTTGAAGAACCTGGGAATTTCTCAGTCTCCATTGCTATTAACTCCAAATTCTTCTTCCAGTTGAGAGACTGCAGGCTGCAGCAACCCCCATCCACAACCAATCAAAATCTTCTCCACCTTGGTCGATCTCTGCAACTGTAAGAAATGCAAGGAGCCCAACCCAGAACAGAAATTTCCCACGAATTCCAAGCCCAAATTCAATATTACAGACCAAGCATCCATACCAGGAGGGCAAACCTTACTGTGAAATTTCAAGACCTTTATGGGTTTACCGTAGAAGGGAATGTCGACGATGTGAACGTATTGAACGAGGTGAGGGAGAAGGTGAGGCAGCAGGGTCGTGTTTGGTGGGCATTGGAGGCCAGCAAAGGCGCAAATTGGTATCTGCAGCCTCAGATTTCTTCTGAAGGCATCGTCGTATCCCCTCTTAAATTGTCCGCCCTCAACAACGCAATCACATTGAAGAAGCTAATCAGGAAGGGAATCCCACCTGTCCTACGGCCTAAGGTCTGGCTTTCGGTGTCTGGGGCGGCCAAAAAACGGTCGACGGTGCCCGAGAGTTATTACGATGACTTGATCAAGGCTGTTGAGGGGAAGGTTACACCTGCTACTCGGCAGATCGACCATGTAAGTTCCCGGGCTTCTTGTTTTTCATGGATTGTTGTGACATTTGGAGCATTGTTCCCTCACTTCTTGATTTCTATTTTCAGATTTTATGTTTCTCTTTCTCTCTCCCTCTACAAGGTGTTTTTTTGTTTGTTTGTTTGTTCTTTTGTTTATGTCAAGTTTGATCACTTTGAGAGGTGGATAGTTTGCAAACAGGTATATATTTGCAATCATATGATATGAGATTGGGAGAGAACATTACAGGACAAATAGGAATTCTACTCAAATTCCACAATTTTGATTTGAAATGAAACAAATGATCATCAGAGTTCCATAAGTCCTCAACATTGTCCAGTTAGGAACTGACTTCTATTAAGTTAGGTCATCTCTCATTTTCATATATAATGTAGCACAAGGATGAAAATTGAAGCAATGGATAAGTTCTTTTGAAAGCTTGGATTTTAAGTACTTTTATTTCTATCTTTTCTTTTGTCTAGGTAAACACTGCATTACTATGACGCATCTGCCTTTACCTTGAATTATTACATTTACTCCAAGAATATAAGGCCAAGCTGAAGATCTCTTGGATGCTACCGTCAGAGACTTAACAGTTTATGAAAGTATTGGATCTCTAAGTCAGTTGCATGAATATCTGATTATGCCATGAAGATGAGGGAAAATTGAAACCATAGATTTTGATTAAATCATTTAATTTGATTAATAGATAAGAGAAATTAGATCTGTATCCAGTGCACCCCTCCCAAGACCCCAAATGGCTGTGACCAACAGTGGGTAATGGCTTTTTAGATTGTGTACAATAATGAAATGGCCAAACCAGTAATGTTTATCTTATTGTTGTTTTTGTGAATACAGTAGAATTTTATGATTTAGTAGTAGGCACCAGGTTAGATCGCTTAAAGCCTCTTTCTTTACACATTTGACAATAATTGTAATAAATATGAGATCACACATATATGCACTTCGTTAAATTTAGTACGAGATAGCAGAACAACCAGGACTGCCTTAGCAAACCAGTCGAATTACACAAAAAGAATAATCAAGAAATTGTTATTATTTGCTATAAATACCTACGGCTAATGTCTATAAAAGGTGAGACACTCAATATGGCTTACAGAATACAGATTACTTAGAGTATATCAATGAACTATACTTTGAGCATTCTGGCATTCATTCAACCAGATCCTAAGAACTGAGGCACATGCACCCTAGCATATTAGTTCCTTCCTGTTCGTAACTGAGTTCTGTCAGATGTGAAATTTAAAATTGCTTCTGCCCAGGTGACCATGCCAGCTTGCTTATCGATCTTTATAGATACAATGTAGAGTCCAGATTACATGAATTGATAGCTGGTCGTGGCTTTGAAATTAATGAATTTCCTAGTTACATGTTGAAACAGAAAATTGAGTTAATGCCTATGCTGAAACTATGCAGGATCTACCACGGACTTTCCCTGGTCATCCATGGTTGGACACTCCAGAGGGTCATGCAGCTCTTCGACGAGTCCTTGTTGGGTATTCTTTCCGGGATTCAGATGTTGGGTATTGTCAGGTGGGTCCAGCTTACTTAAATCCTGGTGAAATTTAAGTTCTGTTATCATGACTAAGGCTTGAATTTTCCTTGTGCAGGGTTTGAACTATGTGGCAGCGTTATTGTTGCTAGTGATGAAAACAGAAGAAGATGCATTTTGGATGCTTGCTGTCCTCTTGGAAAATGTACTCGTGAATGACTGCTACACAGACAACTTATCAGGCTGCCATGTTGAACAAAGGGTATTCAAAGATTTGCTTACTAAGAAGTGCCCAAGGTAGCCCTTCTTGTCCTATTTCTTTCTAGTTCTTTTTCGAATTCTATATTCAAAGACTTCTTTACTAAGAATTACAGAAGCTAGTCCTCATTTTCTCCTCCCTTCCACTTTTCTTTCTTCAATCTAGCTGGTTAATTGGCTTCCCTTGTCTATTGCATGGTTTGTTGGTCCCTTCTTTGAATCCGAACATCTCAATTCAGAATCGCAGCTCATTTGGAAGCTTTGGAATTTGATGTCTCTCTTGTTGCCACTGAGTGGTTTCTCTGCCTCTTCTCTAAGAGCTTGCCTTCAGAGGTCAGAAAATAGTGTCAGTACCTTTTCTTCTTTATTGTTCTTTTCCCTGGCAGAAAGTGTGAAACATGTTTTAAGCATGTCCTATGACTAACCTTTTTACCTGCTGGATTATTCAGACGACTATGAGGGTCTGGGATGTCCTTTTCAATGAAGGAGCTAAGGTCTTGTTCCATGTAGCTTTGGCCATCTTCATGGTATTGTCTCTCTTTTACTCTGTGTGTGTGTGTGTGTGTGTGTGGAGGGGGGTGGGGGTTAATTTATGAAGAATCATTTAAAATTACAACTCAAAACTCTTAGAAGTTACCAAAGAAGAGGTTTAAGCTCTGCCAGTTATTACAGATGAAGGAAGAGGAGTTGTTGATGACCTATCAGATTGGCGATGTGCTCAATATCCTACAGAGAACAACCCATCATCTCTTTGATCCTGATGAATTATTGACAGTAAGTGAGATATCCTCTAACCTTATTTCTATCTACAATATCATGTCTCAAGTAAGCATTGCCTTTGAAGTATTTACCTCTTATTCATCCATCACTCTGTCCAAATTAGCAACTTAATTGCTGAAGTTGAAAACCTAAGCATAGCCTCTTTGCATAATTCTGCAGGTAGCCTTCGATAAGATTGGATCAATGACTACCAACACTATAACAAAGCAACGCAAGAAGCAAGAGCCTGCAGTAATGGCAGAGCTTGATCAAAGACTGAGACGGTTAAATTCTTTTCAATCGAATGACAAATAACCCGCTGCAAATAACAAAGCAATCACATGATGTGTTATCTCAAACACCCCGGCGAGAGTCCACTGCCCCTTGTGGGTTGGGGTGAGGCCGTGAGGTTACACTCCACATCATCACAAGGATATATAGAGGTGAAAGTGAAACTTTTCTTTTTTTCTTTCTTTCTTTTTCCTGGCTTTAGTCGGGGCGAATGTAAAGTCTGAACGCTGAAAATATTTATACAACTTTGCATTCCAAACCAGGGCTGTGGTGATAATTTATCCGCCCTGTAATTGGATTGGAATTCAGTATCATGCCTTCCGTTTAGGTTGAGCGAGACTCAATACCAATAATTCCGGTGTAGTCACCAGGTTTGTGGCGTTCCCTTAAATTCTGAATTATGATGAATAACCTGCTGGAGCCTGGAGGGATACTTGGGTGTGGGAGGAAATGACTGAGAAGGTATTGGGGAATGATTCAACTTGATTTTTATTTTTTTTCACCCAACGTCTCATTAATTTTAGGTATGGATTTCAACTATAAATTACTAGATGTCTATAATTAACTCCCTAGCCCTAATCAAGGCCAACTATCTTTAATGCCAGATGGTCAGCTTCACTAGTATTCCCGTATAATTTGTTTTTTGTATGTTTGCAAGTGGATTTAGACTTAAATCACTAAATCAGCCATATGAACATGACAGCTCTTGTCACAACGTCGTATCTCAGTATGTTAATAGAAACAAGATGATTCTAACCAGTGTTTTCAAAACCAGACCGGACTGGATGGTTGGACCAGAAAACCAGGAATTGGTCATCTGATCAGTTCTGTTTTACCCCAAAACCACTTTTTTGACAAAAAACCATTGATTTGGTCAGCAAATCAGACAATGGTTTTTGGCCTCTTTTCTTGTTTTTTAATTTATTTAATTTTTTATTTTATTTTTTTCAGAACAGGCTCTCCATTCAGACCAGACGGTCAGACCATTCGACCCAGGAACCAGATCGAAAACGATTCCCTATCCAGTCCTGTTTTAAAAATCTTGGTTCTATCCTTTAAGCTATGCTTTACAAAAGGTAATTTATCTTTCAAATATTAATATAATTTATGCTGGTTTCTTAGAGTGCACATTTTGATTCAACTATTTACTGACATTTTATAAATGGGTCTATGAATACTAAAACATAATTCCTTGTATACCTTACAGTCATCTGGTGATTTCTTCACTGTATTTATGTCATCCAAACTCCGAAGAACATCCTGACAAGTTTCTTAAAATCGTTTTTTTAATATTATCTGCAATTCTAATACTAAAAACCTTGAAATTTGTATTGTATCATTTGTATGCATTAGCAAATTGTATTGAATGTCAGCATTTTTACGCAAGAATCGCAGGTTCAAGTTTCTTGCACCTTAATTTCAATTTAGCTTTGTTTGTTCACGGTATACAATATCAAAGCCATTTTTTATTAATTTTATTAACAATACATGATATTTTGATAGTATCTGAATGCTATTCAATATCCAATTTCAATCTGAATTTGATTCAATCTAATATAAATCCAAGATTTAATCAATCAATTTAGCATAGCTACATCCGGTTCAATCTGACGTAGATGAATCAAACTGAGCCATTCCGGTTCTCAATTTTTTTTGATAAATCATTCCGGTTCTCAATTCCCTGACCATAAAAGTGGAAACTAAACAAGATCTGCTTAGACCAAGGCCTTGCAATCTTAACAAGGGTCAACACAAACGAATATCAAATTTCTCTACTTTTAATCTCGGCTTATGAATGCTATCAGCTATCAAAATGGTGAACTCATTTTCGGCGAGTCTACCACCACCCGGTTCAAACAAAATTCTCAAGTTGTACTTTATCACTACTAGAGATGTTACAAGCAGTCCAGAATATATTACGAAAATTAACAGCTCTAAATGATAGGGGTACGATTAAAAGCAGCCCCATGCTGATTGGAGAACCTTGAAAAAACACATATAAATGATGTTATCAGTGGCAACTGGTATCAAGGACAGCAACAATGCCGATGTGTGATGTTTGGTAACCTTGGAACTTCTCAGATTGTTGGCAAACAAGAACTTATATAACCTATTGTACCTGGAACTGATTTTCCCTTCCTTCTCATTTCCTTCTTCCTTTGAACGACCAAGCAAATGTTTGCAGCAAGTTATATCCCAGTTAAAGTTCCGAGGCAAACTACTAAAGGAACTTTTAACTCTACCGATCACTGTTGTTGCTCATATATTTGCATGTAAGCCTCGGAGAGTGCAACCATCTGGGGAAGAGTTTCTGCCACATGCAAATCCTGTATCTCGTACCTAAAAATTGAGTGTTATCACTACATTTGTTTGATTTCCATGCATTATAGTTTTGCATTTTTATACATCAACAAAGTGACGAGAATAAAAATTTTAAAAAGTTACTGAGCATTTACCATAACTCCTCTGATTTCCGCTGTACAAATACTCTGTAAGACCCTTCACCAGGCTTGCCATCATGAACAATATTTGCAATCAGATCATACTTGGATCTCATTTTCTCGTTCTCCTTTGTTGGCAATGGAATGTAATCTTTAAGCTCAAGGTTCTTTACAGGAAAGTTGACTGATTTCAAGGAAAACATCAGCATGCGAAAATGGCAGGTCATATAGCTAAGAACAATTGTTAAATAGATGTAGTTCACAATCTAAATTGTATGGTTTCAATCGGTTCAGACTGTTCCCCTGAATCCCATTTTGGCTAGAATCGTGGTTGAATACTCTGAAACCCAACAAGAGTTATATGAATTCTACAATTTATGGGATTTTATGGAATTAAACGAGATTTAGAAGATACAAGACCAAAGCTTCTAAAATCTATCCTAACCATTCTTTTATTATTGTTGTTGTTGTTGCTTCCTTTGACATTTACACAATTTTATTTGTTTGAATTTAAGGAAAATGAACTAGAAACTTGAAATTTAGGGACCTCTTCATCTCAAGCCCTATTACAAAGAAATTTTCACCTTCATTACTTAAATTTGTATTCTGGTTGGCGGTGTTATTTTCTACTTCAAAAGATGACTAGCTGCATTATAAGATGGAAGAAATAGCAAAGACCTTATATTGTCAAATTTTACAGTTTTAGGTCAGAAATCAAATTTTCTCCTGTTTTTTATATTGCTCTGGTATCTTCTATATTTAATTGGAGAAATAATTAGGGATCATGGGTTGTTTTTAGTAACTCATGACTAGTTCTGTTTTTTTTGAATGAGTTATTTTCGTAAAGTTGGTTTTGGAATCAAGTAATGTACTGAACTCAAAGCCACCCCCTTTTCGGGTCACAAGTCATGATTCTTCCTTCCATTTTTATTTTTCAATGATTTTTTATAACTTTTTAACAGTTCTTCAAAGTTTCAAAATAAATTGTACGATTTACTATTTGAATCCCACCCTTCCGGATTTTTCTATTTGACTCCACTTTGACAATATTGGCTAGGAAAATTACAACGAAGACCAGCTTAATTTAGTATATTAGAAATCTGAAGCTGATCTCAGATCCATCACCCTGAATTGACTATTTCCCCTGGTAAAATTATACTGGCTCACCATATCATGAACCCTATCTAATCAGTGCACCACCAAACATGAACAAACATCCAAATGAAAAGCTATCCTAAAATTCTCCATCCAATAGGAGTGATCAGAATGAATGTTAGAGTTGATGATGAGTAGGTATACAATATATAGGCAATTTAAGGATGATGGACTGGGTCTAACATATATGTTTCAGTCCATCTCCAAAAGCAAGTAATCTTACCAAGGGTAGGATTTTTCTCAATGAAGAAATTGTTCTTTGTGAAACGCCGCATGTGGAGAATTAGATATGGTGGCAATCTGGTGACACGGTACCTCATCCTCGCTATGCAAGGACGCACCACTTCTGTGATAGACTCACCATCGAATTTCTTCAGTATGTTAAAAAGTGGTACCTGTGTAAAACCAACTCAGCTCAAAAAGTTTCAACAGGATACATGTAGATCTATCAAAATATCAGAACTGTTTTGGGTGGAGGAATACCCACTCCCACCCAAACAAGTAACCAACTAATTAACTAATAGAATAAAGGGAAGGAATTGAGGGAATGAGGGAGTCCACCACCAAACAAAAAAAGGGATATTGGCATAGCATTGTACAAGAAACTAAAAATCTGGCAGGTTCCTGTGCTTTTGATGAATCTCCATAACCTTTTGCTAGAATGCTAATCAAAATCTGATGCCACTTTCCATGGATCATGACAATATTTATTAAACATAATAGAAGAGGGGAAGAGTCAGGGAAGTGGAAGGGTAACCCCGCACACAAAGAAAAGGGAGTAAAAAACAGGAACAAAAAATATCCTGATTTTCTTTTTACTCTTTGAGTCTTTACTAACAAAATACTTAGAGATGCTATCATGGCAGCCCCTCCTCCAAAACCTTAACTTAGAGCTTAACAAATTTATTAGAGAGATGCTATCATGGTAGCCCCTACAGGGAAGAAACTACATTCATAATCCCAAGGTTAACAGTCCAATACCTCCCTGTAGTCTATATAAACTGCTATCACTACTTAAATTTGAGGGAAGCAAAACAGTCAAAAAAAAGGCACATTTCCTTTCTTGTAATCAGATGGTAATCAAACTATCCCGCTACTCCCTCTTTAAGAAAACAAGAAGAGTACAAATTCTCCAATTCTCCACTTCATCCAATACTGAGATTATTTAACAGGGGCAAGATAGTTGTTATTTAACAAATTGTAGTCTATACAATCATGGTTTGAATTATTAATATGTTTATTTTTGGTAGGCTTATTCACATAAAGCCTAAACTAGAGATTTTTTCTTTTGATTCATTTATTATTTATATTGATTATATCAATATTTCTAATTATTGTTATTTGCAATCCTTTTTGTTATGCTTAAGGCCTTTATCTATTTATATGAGTGTTTTAAAAGCACAAGGCGCAAATGAAGCGCAAGGGGCAATTTGCGCCCAAGGCACAAAATGCAAGGTGAGGCACACACCTTTTGAAGCGCAAAAATACAAAAAAAAAATGTCAAATTTTTTTTAAAAAAAAAAGTCAGAAAAATAAAAAAAAACATGCAAAAAAATAAATAAAATATTAAAAATATAAACTTCAATTTTAAAATAAATCTTTCAAAAAACCTATAAGATTAAAATACATAAACATAACATGTAAAGTGCATTCAAATGAAAATTTAAAAATAAAATCAAACATATAAAACACTTTCAAGCATGTTAAACCTGCAATCTCTTTTTTTCTTCAATTGCATTACTTCAAATAGTTAATGTGATGTAAAACAACTTGCATTCCTGATTCTATGAGCCATGTTTGTACCAAGCGGCAAGCCCAAACAAATTCATGTTAGGGTCTTAAATTCTTAATCCTTACACAAAAACAAATTTTTTGATAATGTTAATTATCTTTTAAGAAGATATTTTACTAAGATGAATGAATGAACAACTCAACAACATTAGCAAAAAGGGGGTTCTCAGAGCTCCGGTAGGTTCAAAATAGAACATAAGACACAAAAAACTACAAAGGTGCATGCCTGGGCTGAAGCGCAAGGTGCACTAGGTGCACAACCTTTTGAAAGTGCTGCACTAGGACCTAGACAAGCAAGGCACATAGCTTAAAATGCGCCTCGCCTAAGCGCCTAGGCACACATTTTAAATCACTGATTGATATATGCCCAAAGCTTCTTTGTATCTTACAATTTTCAGTCATCTAGCCACTGAACAAAAAAAAAAGGTTGATATGCTCTAGGAATGGTTCCTTTTTTTCCTTTCTCTTTTTCAAACCATTAATTGAACCAATCATAAATTATGTATGACGTTATTTGCACCAGTCATGAATGAATTGAATAGAAATGTTCAAGCAGAGGTCCCATGATGCCTAGTGTTTGCTGATGACTATGTAGCGACGACAGGAAGTACAGAGAGTATCCTGCCTGATTCGAGAGCTCTGGAGATCATCGCTTGATTGAACGCTGATAAGTTCGAATATTGTAATTCCTTCAACAGTGTTGGAAGACACAATAAAGAAGGGGAGGAGACAGGGAGTCAGTTGAAGAAGAGGAAGGCAGGGGAAACAAAGTGAAGAGAAAAATTCCTAGTGGGGAAGATAGAAGTGAGCAGCAGCAAAGAGTTTATAATAGAAAAAGAAGAGCTATTATTTATCTCAAAATGAAGGAAATAGGGGTAAGAGAGAGAGGAGGGTCCGAGAGAGGAAATAAGGAGGAAGGAGAGACGGTAGAGGGCCATGAGGGACAGGAGGTCTCAGGAGAGGTGGGCTCTGGAAAGGGAAGGGTGGATATTGAAGTAGTGGAGAGATAGGTGAGGTGGGAAAATCTCTCAGTTTATTTTTTCTATGCAGGGGGAGTGGTTAGAAGGGCAATTGAGCTTTTCGAAAGGAGTAAGAGAGAAGAAAAAAACAAGAAAAAGTTTTAGGGGAGGGAATGAGGTGTGGGAGGAAGAAGGGAGGGAAGAAGATTTGGAAGAGGAAGAGTGAAGGGGTTGCCAGAAGAGAAAGGAGAGAGGGAGTGGTGGAGGTGGAGGTGGAAGTTGGAAATCAGATTGCTATCACTTAGACTGGTGGCAGCTGTTGGTAAATCTGTTTCAGACTGGGTACTGGTGATTCCTGAATTTGCAAGTCAAGAAAGAAGAGCTTGGGCCAGACTTTGGAGGTGTTGGACTTACAATTTTGTAATCTGGGTACTGGTGATTCCTGAATTTGCACAAGTCAAGAAAGAAGAGCTTGAGCCAGACTTTGGAGGTGTTGGACTTACTATTTTGTAATCTGGAGTCCTGGACAATTGGTTTTGATCTGTTTTTGTTTTGTTTTTTCTTTTTTTTTTTTGATAAATAGATCTGTTTTTGTTTTGTCATTGATATTGTTTTGAGTTGTTTCTAGGTGTTGCCTTAACACCTAATCAGTTTGTAATTCTATTTTCTTTTTAATGAAATTTTTTACTTATCAAAAAAAATAATTGATAAAACTAGCAAAGCATTAAATAAAAAATTAGGTTTACGGACAACTGCATTAGAAATAAGTAGGACTAAAACAGAATATATGCAAAGGAGAGGTGTATCCAGTCTCATGTTATAGGCAAATATCACTCCAGCTAAAAGGAAAATGCTGTAAAACAGTTGTAAGGCCAGTTATGTTGTATGGAGCACAGTGTTAAGCAGTTAAGAATCAGCATGTCTAAAAACGTGTGTTGCAGAAATGCAAAGGACTCTAGGAATAGCTCCAATAGGTGATAAAATGAGAGAAAGTAGATTGAGATGGTTTGTTCATGTGCATAAAAGACCATCTACAGCACCTGTTCAAAAAATGATCAATTACAAGTTGAAGGGGCTAGAAGAGATAGGGGCAGAACGAAAGGAGCTTGGGTAGAAGTAGTAATAAGAAATTATTTAAGCACCCATAAATTAACAATGGATATGGCACTGAACAGAATGGAATGGCATAGCTGACCCCATATAGTTGGGACAAGGCTTAGATGATGACAATGATTTAGTAGGTGCAAACAAGTGGAATACCCAACAGACCCAACACAAGAAACTGTCTCTAATTTTGATTTACAAAATCTTTAGAAGTGATTTTGTTCTATCAGGAGAAACCTGTTTGTAAATATAGTATTTTATCAATTATTTTCTGCCTAAAGCAAAATTTTAGAATTTCTCTCAAAATAAAGCTTCTGATCACACCAAGCCAATTCCTGCCACTAGGGGTGTCCATGAAAAAACGAAAAACCGAACCGAACCAAGAAAACAACCAAACAGGAAAATGTGGTTAATCGAATCGATCGGTTCGGTTTCGGTTTAGTATTTTTGAAAAACTGACGGTTAACCAAACCGACCGGTATATATACTTATATGTAAATTTTATATATATTTTAAATATATGTCATATATTTTCTATATATTATATATTTTATGATATTTATAATATATTATATATCATTTATTGTTTATAATATAATACTATACATATATTTATATAATATATTATAAATATTAAAAACCGAAAAACCGAAGAACCGAACCGATCAAAAATCGAAACCGACGAACCGGTTAACCGGTGGTACCAGTTTGGTTTTGGTTTAGAGAAATTGAAAAACCGTTAGGACCGGTTCGGTTTGCAAAAATTGCCCATGGTTTGGTTAACCGAACCGTGGACACCCCTACCTGCCACTGCCCTTGTACAAGAAGATAAGGAAAACATCTAATGGGTATATGCAGAGTGCCTAGACATTATACATGACCACATCAATATCAAACAGACAGTCAATCACAAAGTTTTGATGAAATACCAAGATAAGTGTGGTATTGATAAGCATAGTTGTCAAGGCGTCACTTAGGCGACTAGGCGCCCTTGGCTGGGCGCCTTGCCCAAACACCTTGACTTTTAGCAACTAGGCGCCTACCTAGGTGACTAGGCACCCGCCTAGGCAACTAAGCACCTGCCTAGGCGACTAAGCACCCGCCTTTTATAATAATATCATTTATATTATTGTATCTTATTAATGTATGTTTAAATTATTATTATTATTATTATTATTATTATTATTATTATTATTATTATTATTATATATCAATTATACTTTGTTTTAATGTTTTACTATTGGAATTTAAAAGATCAAAGGGCTTTGAGAAGAGAAAAAAAAATAAAGAAAAGAAAGAGGAAAGAAAGAATAGAATAATAAAGTTCTTTTTTTCTATTTTCTCTCTCTAATTAAATAAAACAAAAATTCCACCCTTGTTTTTTTTTTCTATTTTACTTTCCATCTTGAATATTTATCATATAAAGCTAATAACCTTCTTTAGCTGCTAATTAATATGAATTTGCTCTATTAAAAACTTATTATAGTAGTATTATTTTTGAAAATAATGAAATTAATATATGTAAAAGATTTGTATCTTTTAGATGTAATGATTTGCCACATTTTTAGAGGAAATTTAATGTTCTTAATAAAGAGAATTGCTATTTTTTCAATCAACATACATGCTGAATGGTATGTAAAACTAGGCGCCCCAGTGTCGCCCAGAATTGCCTAGACGCCTTGAAAACTATGTTGACAAGTAAGCATTCTGGCATACAAGCCCATGTATACATGGGTCAAGCTGTTGACATTCCATTTTAATCATAAAATCCAATGGTAATTTGTAACTCATGCGCTACCCTCCACTAAAGGAGGAAAATATCATATATGCTGATTGGTAACAAGTAGACCTGTTCATGGGCCGGGTAGCCCAATGGCCCGACCGTAGTTGGGCTTGGACATATTATTAGGCCCGTGGGCCTGGGCTCGGGCCCTATTATCTAAGTCCGACCTGATTTCGGGCCAGGCTCAAGATTTCATAAAAAAAAACCCAGCCTGACAATATTTTCATTCAAACTCATCCTGTTTTGTTTGAACTTCGAACAAACTAATCCTCTTCACAGTGGCGGTGATGGTAGTTCTTCTACAATCTACACTCAAGCAGCGATCCAGTGACCGGCGAGGCAACGACATCTCTCTCTCTCTCTCTCTCTCTCTCTCTCTCTTTCTCTCTCTCTCTCTCTCTCTCCAGTTCATCAACCCTGTGGTGAACTCAAATCTGCAACTGCAATGTCGGGCTTCGGCCCCGGACCTCGGGCTTTTATGAGGGCCAGGCTCAGGCTTAAGATATAGGCCCAATGGTCAGGCCGGGCTCGGGCTTGGGCCTCAATATATTGCATTGATAACCAGTGCAAGCCCGGCCCATGAACAGGTCTAGTAACAAGATCTAGATGTTACTTCTTAATATAAAAGTGACAAATTCTCTTTTAACATTCCATCTTTTATCTAATATATAACTCCACCAGAATATCAAGATCATAACACTAACAAGATAACCAAAATATTTGTACTGCAAGCTTCAGGACCAGTTGACACAGTTAAGGGATTTACCTGTGGTATTATATTTTTTTCCATTACATCTTTAAAAAGAGGGGGTGGTGGCAAATCAAGCCCAAGCATTAAGAATGGCATTCTGCATGTTTCCATGACAACATTGTCTTGTTCATTTCCACCATCCCCAAGAGTCCCATTATTCTGCCCATCACTGTTATCCTTCTTCTCAGTAGTTTTCCTCTGGATCTCCTTCACAACCTCCAATTCCCCCTGTTGCAAAGTATAGTCAAAGAACATTATCTTAATTAGTTAAAAAGAAAAAAGAGAAAGAATAAAAATGGAGTAAACAAGTAAGACTGGACGACAGTGAAACCTGAAAGCACTTATGAATGATGCTTTTCTCCTTTGAACCCTTAAGATCTGAATGCAGTGTGTTCAGAAGCCATGACATGAACTCGACAGGATCTGACTGCTCACCTATTCGGAACCGTTTTTTACTAGATTTCATAACTGCCTGAAGGAATTCATGTGGGCTTACCTGTAAACGAGTAAGGTTTCAAGATCAGATCCATTTTTAAAACATAACCAAGCACAGATAGAAGTAGCAAACCTGGCCCTTAAAGTTCCGGGCATGCCAAATCTTTCGTGTAAGTTCTCCAAATCGATGAACAAGAGGAGATTTGCAGTTTTCATAGTTTTCAGGAATAAGAAAGAAGTTCCTCAAGGGAGTAACCCTCATCAAAGATTGAATTGTGACATTCACAAAATCAGTCTCCTTAATGTTATTCAATCCAACCTGAAACATTGCCAAAGATTAAGAAATTATGATGAATGACTGAATGAATGGAAGAACCAAAACTTAAACCTTGATTGGATATGCAGATGAAAAGACAATGATAAGGTCAAGAAGAACAAAAGCAGCACTAATAAACATTAATAAGATAGAAGACTAGTTACCATTCCAGGAAGGTAATCAGAGCCATCAAGTGCCCTTGACCATTGCTTATTTTTGTCAAGCATTTCAACTTGTTCTCTAGTGAACCTGTATGAATTAAAACTAGAGGAATTAGAACCAAGTTATCTGACAAAAGTAATTTACCAATTTGCATAAGTAAAGCTAAAAAGGTAAAATTATATCAAAATACTAAAAACAAAGGAACCTGAGCAATATAACATAATTGATTGATGTGAAACTCTAGATAGACAACAAAACTTAGTTTTATACCAGTATAACAATATATGCCTCTTGCACCATAATAACAAGAGACACTCTGGTAAAGTGTATGATCAAATTACCAAAAAAAGGAAGAAATAACTAGAGCAATAGATAGCCAAACCTTGGGTTTAGAACATGGCGAATGTCATCTAATGAAGGGTCATTAATTTCATATCCATCAGGAAGGCAATAAACTTTTTCTGTCTCAAGATTGATATAAACATGGTGGCTTGCTTCAAGGCTATGAGTATATGCATGTGATTTCCGACCTCTTCCTTGGTAATACTTCCCACAGACCAAACACGCATAAACATTCATATTTTTCAGAGAGACAGAGCAAAATTTCTCAAAGTCAAAGTCCAAAACCTGCAAAAATAGAACAAAAACAACTACATTTTTTTATCAGCAAAGAAGAATTTAGTTATTTATTAAACTGAAAAACAGGTTACAGTTTCTTTATCTGCTCTGCACTCCAGAGTATTACAATATACAAAGAAACCCAAATTATGTAGATCAGCATCCCACTGTTGTAATACAACCAGCTACAATTTAGCCCAAAATAGAGTAGGTCTATCAACTCCCTGTTTTGCTAGAGTATCTGCCAGTCCATTTGCTGTCCTTTTTACCCATCCGAAAATAGAGTTAAATCTCTTAGCAAGAAAGTCAATCTCCCTGAATGCAAATCTGCACTTCCAATGGTGCTGAGTTTACTTACTTAGCCCAAGCAATGACCAGAAGTGAGTCCCCCTATTGTTCTGCTAATTTCAGGCCCTTGTCTCCTCCTGAACCGAATCTCCATACCCAATTGGCCCTGAGGGTAAAGCCACAACTTCCCTATTGTGATTTCAAAATACTCCCCCTATTCCTGCTCTCCCAGGGTTTTCAAGGGAGCTGCCATCAAAATTTAGCTTCAATTTTATGTGGTTCTGGAGGTTTCCAATCCATCTTAGTAATCTCTTTATGTGTTCCCATCTGTGTCACCTCCTTCCATTTCCTCATTACATCATTTATTGAGATATCTTTAAATATGTCAATAGTTTTTACCCAGTGTGCAGATCTGATTTTAATTGTTTCAATTACTTCATCTATAAAGAGAATAGAAAAGAAAGCGTTGACCACCACTCCATCAGATACATAAGAACAAATAGCACATGTTTCCACTATACTCTACAAGAAATCAGTCCATTCTCCTACCCCAAATGAGAAATGATCATAGGAGAAGTTTCTAGAAAGCAAGAGTTTAACCTGCAGGCTGCAGCATGGACCTTATTCATGAAGCATGTGAAATACCAATAAAGTCAACTGGTTGTATTAATAACTTTGGCATTCTTAGGGACAATTAGACAATATATAAATAGTTTAAGAACAAGATTCCAGAGAATGGAGGAGCAGTGAAACTGCATTGCTGGTGGCATTCAAATTTCTCTGATGGGGCAGGTGATTGCCTCAAGCATGTGTACCATATATCTGCTAATGAGAATTGAGAAGATAGACAACACTTAGGATAGGCTATAAGCTTAAGACAACTTTTAAGTGATTATCTTTGAACGAAGGGTTGATAGTATACCATATACTCTAAGGCGCTGTTTGGTTAGGCTGCAAATTTTGAGCTTTGCACTTTCAAAAGCCTAAAAATTTCAAAATTGAGTTTTTGCCTTTTGGAACCATCCACATTCCTGAGAAGCTACAACTGAAGCTTCAACAGATCATTAATTGGGCTTGCAATTAAAAACTTTGGGAATCTTCCAGATAGTATCATGCATAAGCCAACTTTTAGAGGCCTCAAAACCTCATCTGTAATTCGATGATATGCAAACCAATGGTGTTTGAGGACCGGAGCTTGTGGCCAAGATGCATTGCCTAACATTGAAGAACTTCAGCATCTATGTTAGTAGCAGTGAACTGGATAATCAAGGTATTGTCTTCCTCCTCCTCATTCTTCTTCTAGGATTTCCAGTGTACCAAGAGGTAACCTCCTCTCCTCAAAAATGTTAGTACAAGCCCAGTTACTCTCAGGAAAGCTTTTTCCCCTCACCCTTCACCATCTCCAGCTCTTCTGCTGCACCATTTTACAAAAACTCATTTGAATTAAATGCTTCTCTTCTTTCATACAAATCAATCATCAATGCTCTTGTACAATCTCAAATGTTTTGTCTCAATTGGAAGGGATGGATTGTTCCCCAAATATTATCATATACATTAGTACATAACTTTGATTGATGAGTGTTTTTTCAATTTGTTTTAGAAAGGTATTTTGTAAGGGCAGAGGGTATCTACTTCTTGAGAATTTAAAAGGGGAAGCAAAGGCACTGGCAACCAATATGAACTAGTTGTACAACTGGGCTCCAGATCTTCCAACAGCATAGCAGGTTCTCTAGCAGGGTCAGGGATTAAATAGAGTTTTTTCTTTTCTTTTCTTTTCCTTTCTTTTTTCTTTTTTTCTTTCTTTTTTATTTTTTGGGGTGTCAGATCCAGTAATCTGTCTTAACTTGTATGAAATTCTGATAAAGAACATGTCAACCTAAGGCTTTTTTACCCATCTCTCATTCCAATAGTTTTGGAATGCAGGAAATTTTTACCTATACATATTACTATAAAATTGTCTTGGATGTTACTGATAAAAATTAAAAAACAATATAGAAGAGGTGGATGAGTAGTTTCTTGAGATGGATAAATAGAGTTTCTGGCTAATACTTCACATATACAAGCATGTAATGGTTTTCCAGAAAAGGCTCTAATAAGGAAGAACTTGAGCTCTATGAAGAAATGAAACTTAAGGGGACTCTTCCTGATATTTATACTTACAAATTGATGATCGATGCATATTACAAGGAATATATTTTGTATAAAGTTCTTGAATTGCATTGGTAAAAAAATAAGGGTTTTGAATGATTTGGTAAAAAATATAGGAGAGATATTGCATATATATTGTGACTAATAAGACACTAATTAGTGAATTGTGCCAAGCAAAAGGCCCTCGAAGGCTTAGAATTTGGTGGGTCAGATGAAGAAGACTGGATTTAGTCCAAATTTATTCAGATTTAGCACTGTAGTTGATGGGTTCCATAAAGTTGGAACTTGGACAAGGCATCAAGGTTGTCCAAATCAGATGAAGTAAATTGATCTCCATCTTTGTTTACCTATAGTGTTCCAATTGCAGGCTTCTATAGCATTGACCAAATCCCAACTCCCATCTTTCAAAGCCTAATACATCTTTCAGGCTTCAAAACCCAAACCCCATCTTTCAAAAGCATCGACCAAATTCCTACTGACTTGACCCAGTTAGTAGCTCCTCTGCCTTAGTACTGAACATTGCAGTTCGAAGTTGGTTGTAACAAATTTTTCAAGTATATATTTCTTTGCCTATTTTATTCATAATAGACTATATTCAACCTACGAGAAGACGTTATTTTGGTCTTGCACTTGCATATAAATAGATGGGAGTAAGGCTGAGTTGTATGCATGTAATTTTTTTTATCAGCAACATGCAAAGGAAAACTGATGAATTGGGTTAAAAGATCAGCTAACTCTTTAGCTGATGGATTAGCTAAACAAGGGGTAGCAAGGGATTCAATGTTTTGGGCTAAATTGTAATTTTATTGTTTCTTCCTTTCCTTTTCTTTTCTTCTTGAGGGCTCAAGTTGTATTTGGAAGATAAGAGTGTTTGTCTTCCTCTTTGTAATTATTTTAATGACGAATTAATGAATTTGTTATTGATCAAAAAAAAAAAAAACATGCAAAGGAAAACTACGTTAACTAAGCCATCTTCTCAATCACTTTTCTCTTCTCCTAATCTTCAAAAGAAACTTCTTTCATGGGTTCCCTCAGTTTTACAGCTACAATAATAGAACAGCTGGACCATAAACAGATAACCAATTTGTAAATTATCTTCTCTGCAACTGAAATACTGAAAATAGAACTAGATCTGCAAAGAGGCATACGCTTCATGTGCTTTTTATTTAAGTCAATTTTTATAATAAAAATGTTATAGATAAAAGTGGGGAACCATTATCTCAACTTCCCCATGTATATTAACATAATGCAGAGAATGAAAAACCTCCAAATTTGTCTATTGTAATATTATCAAAATGCCCTTGTACAGATTTGTTGGCTTCATACCCCCATGGGGGGAGGGGAGAGGGCACAAAAACTAATCATAGCGCACTGTATGTGAACCTAGCCACATAAGACCATAATAGCAAAATAAAAAACATTTAAGCAACACTTACACCACCTCCATGTGCTCAAGAGGCTTACACCTCGCATCATGTCTGCCTTTTAAAACATTGGTCAGGGTGCCCCATCTTGATGGAGTTTCTTGGCTTTCTTGGGGCCGCAAAGACCTCTTGTAAACATTTCTTTTCTTTTATTAAAAAATATTTTACTATAAAAAAAAAGACATCAGAGTTCAGAAAAGTTGGTCAATATTTCATCTTTTGTGGGAAGGAAGATGATTGAGAGTACAGTTTTAATGACTATTAGTGATCATATTAAGGAATGTTAGCAATTCTTAGTTCCTACTTCTGTTTTTCTAGGTTTATCCCGATTCCTAAGCCTTCTTTTGAGAAATTTTTACTTTAAGATTTAGTACTTAATGGGAAAATAGAAAATTGAGCTAGGAGTCCAAGACTTAAGCAGCAGATCCTGGCTTATCATCTTTTGATGAGGATCATTATGTGTATCATTGTTTTTGGAATTTTAAAACTAGGATGTAGTTAGCAAAATAGGTGCACCCCATAAACAAGGAAAATCATATGAATCCTTAGGAGCTTTTAATGCTACCTTCGACTCAAAAATGAATTAACATCCAAATTTCTAAATCCAGTTCCAAAGGAAGTCCTTCCAGGAAAACTGTTCTTGCAGGTTAAAAAACGATAACAATCAAAACATTGATGCTAGCATTATTAGGACTAAGTTTACCTGACGATTAACGGTATCAAGATAAGGACAGTCCCTTCGAATTTCAACTTGGCGGTTGCACTTGACATGATTTGATCCTTGCTGATGCGAATCATCATCATCATCATCTTCTTCTTCATCATTGTCCTCTTCTTGTCTATGACCATCTGGCCCTTTTCTTTCTCCTCTATAACCATTTTGTCCAAGCCTCTTATCACCACTGCCTTCTCTACCCCTTTCTTCATCATCGTCGTCGTCATCATCATCATAAGAAGCAAGAGGAAGAAGAGAATTTTCAACAGTGAGGAGAGGAGGTGGAGGGGCCTGTTTAAGCAGCTTCTGCCTCTTCAATTCTGGAGAAAACAGTTCCTCACTTTCACCATTCTCCTCTCTTTTTGTTTTCATCTTCTCCATCGGTCCGTCCGTTTACTTTTATTAAATGCTACTGATGTGCACCACAGAAACCAAAATCAACATTCGATATATCCCTATGGCATGAATATGATAGAAGAAGCACTACAGAAAACTTGAAAAGAATCCGAAGCCAACAGATAAAATTTCAGCATTCCTATCACATCGAAAGACAGAAATCGCAACAAATGGAAATCTAAAAATCCCAACATAACAATCTGATACAAATCCAAACAATTCCAAGGCATCAAACTCATAAAAGAAAGGAAAACAAAACTCAAATAAAAAAACGAATTGCAGAGCAAAATACATTGAACATGTTGCTGGGGTCCAGTTCCCTAGGGCATGAATCTGATAGAAGAAGCACTACAGAAAACTTGAAAAGAATCCGAAGCCAACAGATAAAATTCAGCTTTCCTATTGCATCAAAAGACAAACCGCAGCAAGTGGAACATAACAATCTGATACAAATCCAAGCAATTCCAGGGCATTGAACTCATAAGTCATAACAATCTTGCACATTCACAACCACCACAACAGCTGTCATTTCACTTTTATCTAGATTCACTTTCAAGCACGAAACCACCTTAAACCAGAATAATAAATATTTTAAGTTGAGTACCTGGTCCATGGAAGCGTTACAGAAAAAACAGTGTATTATCTGTGAATTGTAGGAGAGCAACTTTTGTGCCATTATTACTGAATGTTCTTGTTATGGCTTCTTGAGGTTTGGTTTTGATCATATGTTTTCTGGGCTATTTCATAACCAGGAATCTTTTTGGTTTTATATTTGTTTGAGCTGCAAATCTTGAATAGGTCTTGCTCTTGCATTTCATAATTCTTTCTTAATTTACTTATTTTAACCTTACTAATAAAAAATTGCAGAGAGAAGAGTTGGTGTTTGTCTATCCACAGGAACCACAGCCCTGTAGGATAGAGTCAAACATCTTGGTTTTCGTGGAATCAGCATCTACACTAGGTATCTGTAATGCTGAAATAGTCACTCCCTCCTTTATGATATCTGGATACCCATACATGCCTACTGTACCGGTGTTATGATACCCGGATTCCTGTACAATGCAAGGTGCGACATTGTATCGGCTACTTAATTTTTAGTGTAAATTTTGTATCTGATACTGTACCCAACTGTGTCCTCACCATATCTGGTTAACATAGTGTCTGTCATGATGTTTGCTGGATAAATACTAGATGCTGCATTGGCACTTGTAGATGTACTCTATATCATTAATAGTTTTGAAATATATAAAATGATATGTTTGTCAACTTATGCATATCTGGGCATCATAGAACCTCCAAGCCCGAAAATATAACTCCTATATAAATTTCTTTAGGGGCTTCAAGAGAGTGGCTTCCCTGAGAGTTTCCATCAATTTTGTAGCCTTACCTTGCCCTTTAGAGATGGGGGAGGGGGATGTCAATTGATGGTTGCACTGAGGGATGCTACAAAAATTTCCAAGTTCAAATAGATGTCTTCTAATATCATCTTGTTTGCACTCTATGGAATATATTGCGAACTCCCTAATATCTATTTCCCTTTTTATCACTTGTTTGCTTAAGACAATACATTCATTATTTTGCACTTGTGCATACAAGTATGTGATTACATAATGTTCTTAGAAATGTAGTTATATGAACATTTCTGTATAAATATATTAATGTATGCAGGCAAGAATGGTGTGGATTATGTTCATGCCCAAAGATCATAGTCCATATTATTATATACATGGAATACTTCCTAACATTGTAAATGTTTCTAATCATGAAAAGGGAATTAAAAAGGACATGTTGGATGTCTTTACTCTTTAGGGATGGTTATTCTCTGCTAGTTCTAGCTTCTCCCAAGACTATGCATACATTGGACTTGATCAGAATGAAGTTGTTTTATCTTCTTAAAGAGACTCTCTCATAGTTGTCAAAGCGTTCGGGTGAAGCTAAGTGCCTAATTGTCTAAATGTCACTCAGGCGATGTTTCTTTAATCTGAATCCTAGGATAACTCCCTAGTTTTCATATTAACCATAAGGCATCTTTTACTAATAATTAGCAGTAGTTTTCATCAAAGACAAGCTTTATATCAAAACATAGACAAACAACATATCTATGAGAAGTACCTGCATGCCTCTCAGACCTATTGTCTGGGAACTTGGGCAAGGTGACCGGTGACCCCCATGGCACCCAGTTGCCTAGGTATCGGCCTAATATCATATTCAGGGAGACATGGTCCTTCAGTGCCAGATCCAACCCCTTGTTGAATTTGGAGGCTTACCAATTCTACTGCTAGCATCTGTAAAAGAGGACATATTAGAGGCCAGGTTAACTTAACACCTTGTTCTTATGAACTTTGAGGTTTTAATCAGATGCTAATAGTTTTATGAAAGGAACGATGAGGATAGAGCTTTTTCTGGGGCCCTAATATGTAGTTTTAGTTGTATTCTTTTATATGTTGCATTATTTAGCCCCTCATTGGGGGTAGAGCTGCCCATTGACATCTCTTTGACTCTCCCTCCCAATTGAAAAAAAAAAGGCCAGCTTATCTTCCTTGGTGCTTGGTAAGAGAACTAAACTTTCTGGTGGTGCCACTAGGTGGTATATCATTTTTTTTTATCAGCACTGGGTGGTGTATCATCAATAAAGAACTTTGGAAAGGTAGAGGTTATAGGTGCTTGGATTTGGAAATTTAGATAGAAACTAGTTCTGAAGTAATTGGGTGGAAATTTAAAGCTAGAAAATGTTAGGGGCTTTTGCTTCAAAGTTATGATCTGTGGATAACGAACTACTGGGATGATTCGCGTGTTTTGACACAGATACAGGGTTAATAGCCATGGAAAGCCCTTAAAATCTAAAGTTAAAGAAAATATTTCCTAGGAATTAAGTCAAGGCTTGAAGTTTTGAGCGGTGAAGAGAATTCCACTCAACCTGCAGGTTTCAGCAATAATAAGAATGAAGCATTGGAAGCAGTTCAGCTCTTTGAAAAAACCTCTGCTAGAACTAGAAAGGATTAATGGGAAGACTAATGATGTGCTGGAGCTTAAAAGGATAATCAAGTCCAACAACCAACAAAAAGAAATCTAATACATACGTTGATTCAATGTCAACCAAATCTAATATTTATCATCTATGTTAAAATCAAATCTCAGGGCCTTTTCATCAACTTAGGATAAAAGAATCATAGCAACAATAAAAATAAGAAATACCTTTGCCACAAGGAAAACTGATGAAAACTTACACCGTGGTCTAGTCTGGTCTGCAACAGAAAGACAGGGGAGGAATGAAAAAGAGTGTGAGAGAGAAGGAGAGGAAGAAGATGACGGAAGGAGAGAGAGACACAGAGAGAGAGAGAGAGAAAATTGACGGTGACTTACCTCGCCGTCGCAGGGGTTTCAATCCAGATCCGTTCTTCAAACTTCAGGTGCCAAGAAGAGAGTGACGAGAGATGAGGAAGAGAGGGTTAGAAAGTTGGAATCGAGTAGAGAGAATGACCCATATTCCTGCGAACCAAACGGGGCCTAAGTTCTTATCCAAAAGGAAGAAAAATGAACTCCATAATCAGAAGCGAACAACAAAACATTGGAAAAGATGGGAAAAATAAAGAAGCAAGAGAGAGAGAGAGAGGGGAAGAGAGACAGAGAGAGAGAGGAGAAAGATTACCTTAGAATTGGCAATGAAATAGATTTTAAGGTCGAAATTGATAGGAAGCTAATGTGCTGTCTTCTGCTCATCAAACGAACTAGGGTAGTGAGTTCAGCACAGCAGTTTACGAAATGAAGCAGAGGAACCAAAGTCACCGAAAGGCGAAAATGAAAATGCAAAGGAATACTTCTCGGTGGTCGACCCAAAATTAGCAAAACCTCCCTCTCCACTCCACTGAGAAAATTGGGCGCAAAATGAAAGTTAAGGGGTCTTTGTTGCAATGAAAGTTCAGGGAAGTATTTATTAGTTATCACTGAGCCATAGTAATTAGTATGGGGGTATTTGTATTGGGTAAATTACAAAGATCTCCCTGTAATATAGGGTCTGTGACAAAGACCCCTTGACCGTTAAGTGAGATGATAAAATACATTAAATTACCAAAATACTCTACTAAACTTTTTCTATTTTCTTTTTTTTTCCCTTTTTTCTCTTAAAACCTATTTAACCTATTGTTTTCCCTTTCTTCTCTTCTTTTTCCTTCCCTTACCATCCTCTCTCATTATTTCTCTCTCCCAACTCTCCGAAATGAAAGGATGGAGGAAACGCATTTTCATCTTCTTTTTCTTTTCTTCTCCGTCTTCAACTCTAGCACGCCTGCACCGGAGGAATGGTGCAGATGCCATCGTTCAACTCCATCTTTTGACCAGCAACTTCGTTGTCGTTCCATACGGCTCCTCTTCAGAAGCTGTAGTAATCGAAGAAGCGTTGTCATGAGAGATGACGCAATTGACACTCACAACGTTATCCACCTAGTTCAGATCGTTCACTTGCAAGGACCAAAAAACAGAGGAAATTGTGAAGAAGAAAGGGGAGGAGAGAAAGGGGCAAGGGAAGAAGAGAGATCGGGAGAGAGAAAGAGGAAGGACTTCGGTATTTGCATCTCCATCTCTCTTCTTCCCCTTCCCCAATCACCATCTCCATATACTGGTACTTGCATCTTTGTCCCCCAGGAAATCCCGTGGGGATTCAGTGCTAGTTTTGTGGAATAGATAAACAATTGAGTGAATGATGTTTTATTTTGTATCTCATAATGATTTTGGCATTGGTCAGTTTGTGAGGCATCCAACTAACTAGTCTGCCATTCCCATTTAGAAATAAAATAGAACAAATAAACGAAATGAAATGAATATTATCCATTAAAGAAACACCAACAACAAAGATCAAGCACGCCAAAGCAAAAAAAGTTGAAAAAAAGTCATTACCAATCGGCTTCCTGCTCATCCAAAATTCTCACAAATCTTGCAAGAAAGCAAGTAAAGGCATAACTCAAAAGAAAGTTTACATATCAAATTATCAAGATTCTCCTTCAAACTTCAAACATTCCACTAGAGATTCAAGAACTCAGTGTAGAATAGCTTTCCAAAATTAAATTGCCCAAAAACACCTAAAATTGAAATCAAAACAACACAATCCAAATTCGCCTTCAACATTCTAAAACACAGTGAAAGAAATGTAGGAAAGTGGGTTTACCGGTACCCTTTTGATTGTGTCTTCAAGACTTCAACCAGAGACAAAGAGAGATGGAGGTGAAAAAAGGTAATATAAAGAAATAGCAAGCCGGAAAAGGAAAATGTAAATTGATGTGATGGGCCAATTTCATAATGCCCTGTACTTGGGTGATGTCAAGGAGCATGTCAAGATTTTGGAGAATGCTGGCCACTTGCCCCTTGCATATGTTATTGTTGTTGTCCATGGTTTCCAAGATGTTGCTAAACATCTTGTAGCTGAATTGGGAGATAATGTTCCAACCTTGCCAGAGGGGAGAGTACTATCGCTTTTGATGCCTCCATCACCTATTCTTGAAGAGGTTGACGATGATGCAAATGGCATGGGGTGAGGACTTGGATATTATTGATGCAAATGGCATGCAGAATGGTGACATTGTTGTGGTGGTAGATGATGGAGAAGGGGAAGAAGAGAGAGAGGGAGAGGAAAGAGAGGGAGAGAGAGAGAGAAATGTGAAGGAATATGAGGTAGAGGGGATTACCGTCGTTGCTGTTAGTGTATCTTGAGGTCGGGGAAGATGAACAATGTTTTTCTCCCTTATCCAAATGGTTATTATAAGGGTAATATGGGGATTAAAAAAATATTATAACAACCTTTTTGGACGGAAGGCTAACGGAAGGGGGTCTTTGTCGCAAAACAAAGTACAGGGAGGTCTTTGTCATAGACCCCATAGTCTCGTGGGGGGGGGGGGGTGTTTGTAATTTTAAGTAAAAATTTTGTTTCACATCTTTTTCTAAATTCTAATTCATTTTGCTTCGCAATAAATAATAAAGTTATTTTTGGTGCAATAGAAAACTTTCCGTCAGCTTTTGGGTTAAATACTAGGGGTCAGTTTGGTCGGTTCGATATTCTTAAAAAACCAAAAAATTTTGGTTCGATTTCGATTAACCTTTTAAGAAAACCGACAGTTAATCAAATCGATCGGTATATATACAATAATATATTATATATTATATTTTTATTTTTATATTTTTAAATCGAATAAACCTGGTGCTTGTTTGCCCTTTCCCAGTTTCCCCTTCTTCGAAACCTAAACTAGTAAACCTAATAGGCTAACCCTTGGCTTTCTCACTCTCTCAGTCTCTCTTGTCTCTTTGTCTTCCCCAATCCCCAGTCTTTCCTCCAGCGCTGGTCATCCTCCGATTGACGGCCTCTCACCTAGTGGCCAGTTTTCCCCTTGCTTCGGTGCTTCCATGTGTTCATCTCCCTCTCTCTCTCTCTCTCTCTCTCTCTTTCTCTCGCTTGTCATCTCCGTCTCCGCTGCACCAACCATCAAGTACGCAGCAACACCGGTCGCCACCTCGCCAGCAAGCATCAAGCCAGCTTAGCCAGCCCTAGCTACAACAACCAACCAAGACGATGGTCGCCGCCTCGACTCCACCAGAACCGCCACCTCTACGGCTATGTCTCTCTCTCTCATCTCTCATCTCCGCGGCTCTGCCACCTCTATGCTTTCACTTCAGGCGACAACAACCACCAACCAGTCCGGCACTAGCAAATCATCGGCCACCATTTCGCCCTCGCCCCTCTGCCATGTTTGTTTAGATATTTTTCCCTTTTTTTAATTTTGAGTGCATAAAAAACTGAAAAACTGAACCACGGTTAACCGGTCCACCGATTTTAGTTTAGATTTAAAAAAAAACGATTAGGTCGGTTCGGTTCAAAAAAACCCATGGTTTGGTTAACCAAAACATGAGCACCCCTATTAAATACTTAAAGGTTGTATTTGGAAGCGGTGTAAATAAAAAACTCTATCGATGGAAATCCATAACAGTCAGGTCTATCAATGTAAAAAGTGAATCAATTGAGTACACCTTTTACACTCTTCTGCAATTGGAAGAATGGTGTAAAACATGATAGTTTTTCTTTATGAATGGGATTTGTTAAGGGAAAGATAAACAATAGAAATACATAAGAGTATACAATTGTTTTATATTTTTAACTTTTTAAATAATTAATAATTATTTATATTTTGGGTTCGACTATGATATGGAAAAAAATATGATGTCTGAAATTTTTTTGACCAATCAATTGGCATCATAAACATGGTAGCCAATCAAGTGTTATTTGTTAAAATTCATGGGTAGATTTTGATTGGTCAAAACTCTTCTAATACCATATCTTTCTCGCATCATAGATTTTCCCTTAGGTTCCGTTTGGTTTGTGAGAAAGTTTGGGTGGGATGGGATGGGATGAGAAAGTGTTCATCAAAGTTATGAAGTTGACCAACCCAACCAACTCGGGTAGAGCTGGTCTATTTTCTAGTATTTCTAGTCGGCTTTGGTTTAACAATTCTCTAACCCAACCAGGTTGGATTGGTTTGGCTTTAGCCGTTTGTAAATTGACCAAAATCAAACGACCTAACTATATATATATATATATATTATTTTTTAATGCAAGAAAGTGGAAAAATCTCATTTTTATATCATAAATTTTATTTTTAATTTATTTTTTAATAATACCATTGTAATTTTTAAAATTAAAATTTATTTTTTAAAATTTAAATCTTTTGAACCAACCGACCAAACCGAAAATTGACCCGAAACAATACAACCCGAGTTAGTCGGTTTTCACTAATGGCTAGTTGATTTCGAGTGACCAACTCCCCAACCTGACCAGGTTGCTAGTTGGCCAAACAACCTACAACTGAACCGAACCAACCCGTGAACACTCATAATTTTTGCAAAATTAATAGCCTAATCTATAATAAATAACAATAGTTTAATATCCAATAATTATTGAAAATTTCTAGCAAAAATGCACAACTATTGAAAATATATTGATAATGAAAATACAATAAATACTAAAAAATATATTAAATTAGTCGATAACTAGTGTAATCTCAAATAATAGTTTAATCTCTAATAAACATTAATCAATAAATTATAAAAAAAATACAATAAGTACAATAAATTAAATTTAAAAAGTTAAATAATAGTAGTTTAATCTCAAATAATTATTGAAAATTTTATGTTAAATAACAAAACAAAAAAATATTTTTATACATAATTATTGAAAATATATTTATCACAAAAAATAAATACTTATTGAAAATACAATAAATATTAGCATATATAAATATATATTAAGATTTTAAAATTATTATTATTATTAATAAATATTATTTTTTCTAAAAGTTATTTTCTATAATTATTAATTGATATAAGTGAAATTAGTTGTTTAAATAATATCATTAATTAAATTTTAAAATATTAATTATTTATTGAATTTAAGAATCTATAAAATTATAATTTATACTATTATTACATAATTTTGTTATTGATTTTGTAAAATATTAAGTTATAAATAATTTGAATATACACACACACACTAAAAGGGATGTGACATGTCTGCACATCTCTCCTTTTTTGGTGTAGTGGCATTTTTTATTAAGAGGGACCCTCACCACAATAAGGGATCGGTGGCATTCTTCTATCCAGTTGTTGTTTTTCAAGAGATTCAAGTGAATACTCTTCTTGATAGTTTAGAACCCTTTTTTTAATGTTTTACCAAAACCTAGGCATGCTTGCTGACTTCTCTTTCACAATTCTGAATTGATGCACAATCTCCCTTAGTAACACATTTGAACCCTATTTGGTTTCAGAAGATTTGTTTTAAAAGAGATTCAACATCTCATTCCATTTGTTGTGCTTTTCATTTTATGATTTGAACATATGAGAGAGATGCATGCTTATATGCATTGATGCTTTTTAAGTG